ATTCTGCGGCTGAGTATTCGAGAAAAATCCCAATCCAAAATATCCTTAGTAAAAGTGGTCCAAGATGAATTTTTTATTTGAGTTTACATTTACTTAAGAGAGCCACCAACACATCCCTTGCGAATTTAAATTGGTTTTGAAAAGATCGCATATGGAGAACATTCATTCATGCAATGTTTATGCAACAGATATAATTAATTTGCTAGCAGTGAAAATAAACTGGGAAGATCATTGTTTTGTGGAAACATATGATACCCTACGACTATAGTAGGTGTTCTGGTTAAGGCTATATAAATTGCATTCTAAGTATTAAAAACTAGAAGTATTTTGAAAATTTATAAAAATTAAAAAAAATATATATTTAAATTTTCGATCAATTTTGACTGTATGGGTCTTTAAGTAAAAAGGTTTTATTCCACAACTTGCATTGTTATTAATCGAAATTGTTTTCGATTTTTATAAAATTGTAAATTTACAATTTCTACAATTTATATTTAATTTTTTTCGATACAATTTGTCATAAGTCAATGTATTTAAATGAATTAAATATAACTAAAATGTGCATAAATAATTATATCTTACCTTAGTTTTGTTTGTAACAGCCATAATTTGTCCTATAATCGCAAAGATTATTTAAAACGTTCTAAAATTAAAATACGATTTAGTGTAATAATACTATTGGTATAATAAAAAACAGATGTAATTAACTAAAATATATAATATGTAAACAAAATAATTAATTATTTATTGTAAACTTACTAACACTAATATACTTAACTTGCATTTGGTTAATTGAGAAAAATAAAGCTTACACATTTTGTTGCAATCAAAATATATAGATATATATTTATTTTGTTTATTGCATAGGGATTAAAAATATGTTTAAAATTATATATTTGAAAATATAACCACATATCTGGGGTGTTGTGACTTATACAATAATAAAATCAATATGTTTAGGACAATTGAAAGTATTAAATTTAAGTGACATCTAGCTTATAGATCATTTTATTTTTTTGAATAGGTAATAATAATTGACAATAATTCTAAATCAAGCATTTAAAATATTATTTTTTAATAAAAAAAAATAATTGATTTGATATTATTTTGATTTGATATTGTATAATAAAATAAAAAAATTACATATTTATCTTAACTGCTTAATTTCCAGAAAACATATATATTAAAGTAAAGAAAATATTTTATTAATCAATAATCTATATATGAATAATTAAATTCATTGTAGAAATGGTTATGGGATAGATTCAAAATTGTATTTCTATATTTTATACAAATTATTGGTTTGTTACGGTAACTCTGCAAGACTACTACTTTTTACTACGATAACGAAGTTTCCTTTATGCCATCGAAGAAAATAATAAAATCTACACATTTTTCAGTTGTTATTCAATTGCAATTCGAGAATTTCATTTGTAATTTGAAAACTCAATTTGCAATTCATAACATTTCATTTGTAATTTTAAACTTTTCATGTGTAATTCAAAAAAATCCACTTGAAATTTAAAGAATTTCATTTGTACTTCGTTTATTTCAAATTGAAATTCGTAGAGTTTCATTTGAGATTCAAAGAAACCCAATTGAAATTCAAATAATATAATTTGAAATGCATAAAATTCCATTTATAATTAATAAAATTTCAGTTGTAATTCGTAAAAATTCATTTCAAATTCATACATATTCGTTGTGTTTTACCAATAATATATACAAATGAAATGTTATGTATTTCAAATCAAATGTTATGAATTTCAAATGGAATTTTATTAATTTCAAATGCAATCCTTTGAATTTCAAATGGAAGTATATGGATTTCAAATTGAATTCTATGAATTTCGAAAGATATTCTATGAATTACAAATGGAATTCTCGAATTGAATATTATATGTTGTGAAAAAGTGTTATAATTTTGAAATTTATAAATGATAAATAGGAAACAATTTATTTTGTTTCTGTTCTGAAACCTAGAACAATATTTTATTAAACGATACTATTTTAAAAATTCTCCCTTTATAAATTTGAAAAATTTTACCACTCTTTGAATACGGTAAAATGCCAAGGACCGAACCCTGGGAGACTTGAATTAGGAACAGATGTCTGCACGATGTTATTTGGAGGCTTCAGAATGTCAGCATTGTATATTGGTAGATGCAGTTTAAATCTATAATTAAATCACCACTTCAGAGAGCTACCTCCTCAGACTTCCAAAAGATGCGACAGTAAGAATGATAGAACGGTTGTCGTACCTAATGACGTAATAAATGTCGTCAAAGACTCTAAGTTATTCAAGTTATTTAATGCGTCGGGTCCAGGAGAAATAGTTACTGTTTGTTTTTGAATCCTATCCTGTTTATATCTTCCCACATAAGGTTGAGTGTTTATTAAATTTGTAATTCAGTTTGCAACACATCTTGATCAGAATAAAATTCTTTGTCGATTCAGTCGAATCCGCTTGTTGAAATCACGATAGTACTTTGAAATTTTGCAGATATATTGCAACTACTACTAGGGAGTTAGGTATAAACAAGTTACGTGTAAACAAAGTACAGGTCGCATTCTTGATTCGAATTGGATGAAATTTGGCACAGCACTTGTATTTGGCCCAAGGACGAACCCTATTGAAATTGGGAAAAATCGGTTCAGATTTGGATATATATTTTCGTCCGATTTTAGGTAAATAGTGCACCAAAGTCCCTATATACCCTCCGATTTGCACAAATTAAGTCTAGAACGATGTATGTTAAATTTCAAGAAAATCGATTCAGACTTCGATATATCTCCCATATATATTTGCGTCCGATTTGATGTAAATGGGGCACCAAAGTTCCTATATATCTTTCGATTTGCACGAAATTTGACATAGCGTACTGAATTAAGTCTGTTAATTTAGTGAAAAAACGGTTCAGATTTAGATATAGTTCCCATATATATTTTCGTCCAATTTTATGAAAATGGTGTCCCTATATATCCTTCGATTTGTTTGAAATTAGTTTCCATATGTATTTCGAACGGGTGTCTGATTGAGATTAAATTTTTAACAGTGCGGCGTAACGAATTTACTACTTTCCTTACTGTTTTTTTACGTTCTCCTTAGTCCTCACATTATTCGATATTTTTTTAACCGAATTTACTTTAAGGGGACCCCACCCATTCTCGAACATTTAATCAGACATGAGAATACATTATTATTAAGACTTGTAACTTTGCATACATATATTTGAAGATTTAAAGATGAAAACAAATTGACAAAATGTTGTTGTTGTCTTTTTGGCGGGCATGATTGCCGATCACTGGAACATCCGAATCCAAAAATTTCAAAGATATTGCAAACTATTACATTTATCCTAGTTCATACGATAGCTACGTATGCATAGAATAACGCGTTAAAATTTGGAACGGATTGCATTTTAGTTTATCGTGCCCCCATTCGAAAAAATTCTGCTTCGAGAAAAACGAGTTTAAAGATTGAGAAGCACTCTTTCCGTTTACAATTTCTTTTGGAATTTTAATGGGACATTCTTGAATTAGCAAAGCTTTGAATTAAATAAAAAAACAATTTTTTTGAAACCGAGAATATGAAGGCGTTCACTTAATAAAAACAAACTTATTACAGAAGCTAAAATATAAATAACATGTTATATAAGTCCATGAAGGAGCATATATAGTTTATGGGCAAGTAGTAAGCTGTTTCATATTATTAATATCTAAAATCTAAAACATTTATTATTTATATTTCAATAACAATTGCTGATCTTAATATGTAAGAATTTCTTTCGTATATATTAATAGCTTTCCATAATACAATTGTAAATAATACAATTGTAATTGCACAAGATGTTGGGTGATCTTTCAAGGTGTTGGGGTATATTATAATTTTATACAAAGTTTCTCCCATGACATTTTGGTATTTTTCCTTTATATAAAATTAATAAAAAAAATACAAATGAAAGAATCGTATACTTTTAAATTATATCTAAGTATATATGTGTACGGAGTACACAGTCCAAAAATAAAGGTATAACTTATTATTAGAAATAGAAATAAATTTTACTTTTAAATAAAAACCTGGGTTATACATAGAAATCATCATATATATAAACCATGAATTATGATATAGGGACTGAGAAAAAAATTAGTTTTTGCGATTATATAAAATTACATAGGCCTATATATGTAAATAACAAAATTAAAACATATTTATTTCTTAGAAATTTATTTGATGTATTGCAATTTTAAAAATGAAATATACATGGAAATTAAAATTTATTTATTTTAATTTAAATTATATGTAATATATATGTATTTGAGACAAAATAGGCAAGAAATACATAGTAAGGAAAATACACTTCGTTTCAAAAAAATTATTATTATTTTATATATTATTATTATTTATAATCTAATATTAATCCATACATATTTTAACTATGTTGCCTTCTATTGTAGCATCTAATATATACGATATAAGATAGCTTGATTGTTCTATAGATGATTTCAGATTGCTCAGATGTTTATTCGCCTAAATTAAAAATAAAATTTTAGTTTTTAGTTGAAGGCGTAGGTTTAATATGTAATATATAGTTGTATTCAATAATATTAAACAAAGAGCAGGAGACTTAATTTACCATAGCTTAAATAAAACTCTGTCATAAAAATGATAGCCAACCGTTTATATTGAACAATCTTAATTTTTTTTTTTTCAAATTTCATCCCGTATTATCTAAACAAGAATCTTAAAAACATTCTTAACTGCTACCAATCATAAATTTATAATTCATATTAAACATTTTAAATTTTATATATCTAATTCTGAAATATTATTACTATATTAAACGAATTCCATATTTAGAATGCTAAATAATAAAGTACAGTTTAGAATTTGTTGAGTCTATATTAATCATTTTCTTATCTTCTTTTTACTAAAAATAAATACAAAACGCAAACATACCTTGATGAAATGCTTAAGTAAAGCCACAGCGGATTTGCATCTAACGACGGTATTTACTGCCATTGGGCATAGCATTTTGGGGATAACCTTGGGCAGGAGGATTATCTGTAAATATAAAAACAAGTATTCAAAAATTAGCATTAGTTAAAAAAATATACAGAAAATTATTAATCGATAAAGAATTGTAGGCTTTTTATATATTACTTTTTATTCCTCTCTTCACAAAAACTTCTCTTCGAACTCTCTCTTTGAAAAAGCCAATGAAATATTTAAATATGTATATTTATATTTTTGAAAAGCAAATTTGAATCATAAACTTTCAACTTACTGTATTGATTATTATGTTGTACATTATAGGGATTCATGCGATTTGAATACATATTCTGATGTTTTGTTGGTCCACCGCCATAGCTTTGTTGATAACCACTACCAAAGTTATTGGCCGCTGCTGGTGGCGGAGGCGCTTGCTGTTGTGGATATATATTGGCTTGTGACTGCGGCTGCTGCTGCTGATGTGGTGGTAATGGTGGAGGGCAAGAATTATGCATTGGTGGAGGTTGTTGCCAATTTGTTGGTGGTGGACCAACCGGTGGTCTTGGAGTAGGAGCGGATGCAACTGGTGGCTGTTGATTGCTTGACCATTGATTATTTTGCCAATTAGGCGTTGTTGGTGGTGGTGGTCCATTTGGCAAAGGTGCTTGTGGTGGCGGACAATTATTCCAATTATTACCACCACCACCTCCTCCAGCAGCAGTTGGTGGAGGATAATTATTCCAATTTGGTGGTTGAGCTGCCATTGGCGGCACCGGTGGCGGTACAGGATTTTGGGGATAGTTGCCATAGTTTTGAGGTGGCATTTGTTGAGGGTACTGCTGGGGATGGTGTGGCATTGGTGGTGGTCCTGTGGGAGGACCATATGCATTATTTGGCGGCAATGGTGGCGGCGGGGCATGCTGCCCAACTGGTGGATGCTGTGGTGGTGGACCCCACTGATTGTAACTTGGTGGAGGAACTTGTTGGTAAGGCGGCATTTGTTGATATTGTGCTGGTGGTTGTGTAGGTAACGGTGGTCTATTCATTGGAGGATATCCTCTAGGTGGAGGATATTGATTTGGTGGCACCGGTGGTCTTACACTATTATTAGTGTTGTTGTTGCTGTAACCAATACCATTTTTAACATCTGGTCTACTACCCAATGGTTTGTCCGCAGTACGGCTGTTTTCTTTTTCGCCCAGCTTTTTCTTGGGTTCATCTTTTGTGTAGACCGATTTTTTGACATCAATCAAAATATTTTTGACCACATGGGTAGTTTGCACTGTTAAGAAAAACAAAAAAAAGCAAAATTTATATTATTTCTTTTGAAGGTTTTTGTTACACAAACAATTTGTACTTACATATGGCCTTGTCAACAGCATCATAATCATCATATTCTACCAAAGCAAAACCTCGACGTTTGCCTGTGGTATTGTCAATAAGAAACTCCACGGATACAACATTGCCATACTGAGAGAAGTAGTCCTTCAGACATTTCTCATCATGATCATCCTTAAGACCACCAATAAACAATTTCTTTACCGAATGATTTTTCTTAGTAGTATCCTTGGTAGATTGTTCCGTTCTGGGTAATGCCCGTTTAGATTCTACTTTTCTGTTACGAAAACAAAAAAAACAAACAAAAATTAGAAAATGATAACAATACACACACTCGCTTATTACATACTTGCCGTCAATAATATGTGGCCTGCTGGCCTGAGCCTTATCAACCATGGCGATTTTCGTAAATGTTACAAATCCAAAACCCCGGCTACGCTTGGTTACCGGGTCCCGCATAACAACCGAATCCACAACTTTACCCCATTTACAATAGAATTTGCGTAGATTCTCGTCTGTTGTCTCTGCCGCAAGACCACCAATGAAAAGTTTTCTCAAATGTTCCACTTCACATATTTCCTAAAAGGATATACAAACAGATTTACAACAAAATTTGTGCACAAGTTTGTTGGGGCCAGTTTTTCACTTACATCATCTTCATCGCTGACATTAACTGTGTTCTCGGTTTTCACTTCCACCACATCACCATCTTCTTCAACTTTTGAAACCATTTTTAGGCGATTTTTGTCGCTAATTTTATTTTATTTAAACAAATGTTTTGAGTTAAACAAAACTGATAATTATTTTCGCAGAGTCTTCTTCTTTTTTTCAGTGTAGTGAACAGAGATGTGTAGGTCGACATTTGACTAATCGTTTAGAGGTAGTAATCGATTTTCAATCGATAGAAAATAAAGTCAAAATGTTTTGTTTTATTATAGAAAATTGTTATAAATTAAATACAACAAACATTTTTGGACAGAAAATTTGAATTTTGACAGTTGTTCTGACATGGCTACATTGTTAAATTAGCCACCTTCTGATGGAGGGCATTGAAATGTACCAAACAACCTGTTGCGTTTATTTACTGTATATTAAGAATGACTTTGCACATGGATAATTATTAAACATTTTCAATATTTTTTTGGTATTTATTTGTTACTAGCATATGCCCAACGACCAACTCCCTGTGATTTACTATTATTAAGAATGGCAAAGCACATTTAGCACACATTATTTCCATATGTACCCTCCTCAACCATCTAATAAAACTTCCTGTATACCACTATCCTACACCAAATTTCAGGATTCCAACTCTATTGGTTCACCCACAATTAAAATTGTACCGAATTTAGTAGACAGTAGTACGAATTTCAAAAACTTCCTACTTAATCCAAACCTACATCCCGACAGTGATTCTAAATCCAAGTTTCACAGTAGTATGAATTTCCAAAACCTCTTACTTACCCCAAACCTACACCACACAGTGAATCTAACACAGTTAACCTAATTATAAGTTTTAGGATTACTCTATTGGTTCACCCACAATTCAAATTGTTCCAAATAAATGAATTTTGTTCATAGTAAATTTATGTTAGCAACAGCGAATTCTTTCATTTTGTACTACCTACATATATCAATCTCACACCCCAACAGTGATCCTAACTACAAATTTCAGGATTACAGCTCCATCGGTCCACTAAAAATTTAAATTGTACCAAATTTAGTACCCATAAGTATTAATTAGTCAAACTGAATTCTGACCCCCCCCAAGTATCATATAGTACTATTCGTACACATGAGTACGCGCTTTCAAAACCATCTCCTTAAATAGACCCTACATCTCAACCCTTATTCGCATTCCAAATTTCATGTTTATAGCTCTATCCATTCACATGCATACTTATACTTTTCGTACACATAAGTAACAAATTTCCAAAACTATGTTCATATCCCAATCCCACACTCCGACGCTAATGTAAATTTAAATTTCAGAATTCCAGCTCCATTTGTATCTCCAAATTAAATTTGTACAAAATAAAGTATCATATAGTACTATTCGTACACATGAGTACACGCTTTCAAAACCATCTCCTTAATAGACCCTACATCTCAACCCTTATTCGCATTCCAAATTTCAAGTTTATAGCTCTATCCATTCACTCCGTCAGTGACCCTCATTTCAAATTTAACAGTACGTTTACATTTAACCGGATTTCGTTAACCCAGTGGGTTCAATTGTCAATTCCTTTGCATATATGTCAAATAAATCCTCATAAAGTAGGTTAACCCGGTAAAAAGTTATAATGCATATGCCGTTTAAGAGTTCAAGCTCCACCCGTTCGTCAAATACAAATTGTATCACATTTTGTACTTTTTAGTACTTTTCGTACCGTTTCGTACTAGAATTTCTAAAAAAAACCCAGCCTTATCGGTCAACTTTGGACCAAGAGTGACCCTCACCCAAAAATTCAAGATTCTAGCTTCAGTCGATTCGTCTTGGCGTTGATGAATCGTTAAGTCACTTACGCTTTTATTAGTATAGGTTAAATCCACTCCATTTCAACCGTCAATTCTATGTTACTGGAAAAGTAACCAGACACAACTATTTTTGACAGAAGTACCATTAAAATTGTTTTACCCTTAATAATGTACCATGATTGATACAACACTCGTGGCGAACAACTCAAACACATACGCTATGAATTAGGTACGTCCCCTTTACAAAACAACATAAATGCCGATACTTAACACATTGCGCTGGCTACGTTGTCTGATGATAACAAGTGCGATATATGGCAGATATGGCAAGCAAGCAACAACAACAATGCATATACATACAATTTTATACAAATGCAGAAAATTGCAGGAAATTCAGCTAATATATGTTTATATATACATTTGACAAAATATATTATAATTAAACAATAATATTGCTAAATAGAAAATTATAAATAAAAGAAGCCTTATTTTTTTTTCTCTATACACAAAATGGCCACAGTCAAGAGAAATCTTTGTAGCAAGATGCCATATTTACGTAAGTGAATTGTTGCCGTATCAAGACTTCTCTAGATTTTACCACTTTGTTCGGGGGCAGGATTGCCATATTTATATTATGGAAAAGAAAATTACATTGTTTGCAGGTTTAACAAAGATTATTTTTAATTATTTTTTTTTGATAGTGTAAATAATTTATTTTGGAATTGTTATGGATTTAAATATTGTTAAAAATTGAATATTTTTTGGTAAAAAGCATTACCATCCATGGGATTTTGTGTTCGCAATGGCAATACCCTGCCATACAAAATGGCTGCTTTCGGGGAGTTGCCCATATGCCCGAAAAAATCTATTTAGTTGGCAATCAGCTGTTTCAAGTAGTGATGTTTCTTGAAAAAAAGTTGTGTGTGAAAAAATTTGTAAAATTTTAGTTTTTTAATAAATAAAATTAGAGTTTTAATAACAAATATTGCAAAAAACTAAAGGGTGAGTTCAAATCGCATAAGATTGTAAAAGCCCAGTTTGGTGAAAGTTCAAAGTTTTCAAGCAATCAATGGTGGAAATTTTTCCTTCGAAAATTTGCATTTCTGATCACTTTTTTTCTTCTCTCGTTCGGTCGTTCGTCTAAACTTGTGTGTGAATGGTTACGATTTTACGACCCTTTTTTATATATATATATTAAGATATATATGTGGTGTGTGACAAAACAAAGAAAATATACCAAAAAATACACTTTTAAATGTCAAAAAGCATATAAAAATGCAAAATACAATGTTCGGACGATGAATTTTTGTGCGAAATTGCAAACAAAATTCGGTAAATCGGTGTGAAAATTGTCGAAAAGAAAATTGCCTAAAATAGGTTAATTTCAGCAACAAAAATACTGTAGAGCCAGCCAGCCAGCAAGCAAGCAAACAGCAGCAGCCATCTAACCAGCCAGCCAGCCACCGCTGCCACTCGTTTTGCAACTTAAAAGAAGGTGTGTGTGTATGTCGCATTTTGTATTGTGGTAGCCTTATTGGAAAAATCTTAAAAAAATAAATCGTTTTATTTTATACTAAACAAAAATCTGGACATCTAAAAACAATAAAAAATGTGATTAGTGTAACACAAAAAATGTTTCAATTATTTATTATTGAAAGGAAGAAGAAGCAGCAGCAATAGCAGCAAACATATCCAATAAGACACGAAAAATATGGATTCCACACATACGAACGAACGAACGCACCGCACCATCATACAACGCACAAAAACACGTACAGATACAATTTGGAAGCAACACAACCACCACACCTAAGCCGAGGAAGAAAGCAAAGGGGGCAAACCAAAAAGAATCACAAACAATTGAAGATGGGAAACAAGCAAAAAAAATATACAACAAAACAAAAAAAGAGTACACCACCAAAAAATCCATTTCAAAAATGAAAAAATTGGATTCAAATCCACCAAAAAAGCATTTGCTTTTTCTTCTTCTTTTTTGTTGTTGTTTTGAGTATTTGTTTTTTGTTGTTTGTTTTACAACTTCCAAAAACAAAAATCAAAAGTCTACCTATATGCAACCATGGGTAATAAAGTGAAAGGACATACTATTTAGACGACACGACATAACGACGCAAAAGTGTAGACAACAAACAGCAGTCAGTCTGTACCGAATCTTTGTCTGCCAGCCAACCAGCCTGCCACCACCTGTTTGATAATCGTAATAATATCTATGTAATTGTCATAATTGGAATTAATGCAAGTCCAAGATTGAAGGAGTTTTTGGATTTGACAATTGTTGTTGTTTATTTACTTTTGAGTTAATTAACTCTGAGATTTGTTTACATCGGTCATCAGGAGAGACATGTGTTGGGAGAAAATCTAATTTTTGAAATTTTCAAAACTGTTTTATAAGTTATTCTATTTTTTTTTACTTTCCAAATTACAGAAGATCTTAAAACACATCGACACACAACATAACAATTGTCTATTATAAAGTTGGAATATTGCTCTGCTGCATTTGTATAGGAATTTAAAGGATCTGAGAAGTTCAGTGGATATGATTCGTCCACTGTTATGTCTGGACGATAGCTTAAAAGAAGGCTTAAAAGAAATAGAAATTGCTCCTGTATGTAAATGTGGATTTTTGCTCTTATTATTGGCATACACTAACCAAGAAAGCCCGCTGGACTTCAGCTTTAGTCAAGTTTAAGGTCCAATGGCGGATTTTTTTTAGAAATGTTAACCACATGTAGCAGAAGTCCGTTGAGAACTTTGAATTTCTCATTCACGTTAAAATTAGCTATGAGATGAGGTTAGGTTGGGTTTGGTTAAGGGTGTGCAGTCGCTTATGTGGCTGCAGCACTCTGAGACCGTCAGGTCCATTGTGATCATCCACGAGAAGAAAAGAGATAAGGAGAGATCTATAGGGGAGAGAAGATTGGGGAAATGAAGAGAGATGAGAAGCTTACAGAAAATAAGTTTGGAATAATGTCGATGGCTATAGAGATCGGACAGAAGACATATTACGTGTCAAGGTTGCACTTATCCAACCACTTTAGGTTTCTAATTATGCTGTAGATTAGAGCAGGTTCAGTTGTTGAGAAGAAGCTAAGAATCGGTGGACAGTGACACAGAAAGTGCTTAATTGTCTCCGTCTCCTCCTCGTCAACGCAGAGTCTACAGTAGTCAATTGCATCAAGATCCCATTTACTACTAAGGGCCCTGATATTGCAATAACCAGTAATGATTCCTGTCA